TTGACTGAATTGTGAAGACAACCACATACCAGAGGAAGAACGATTAGCAGCGAGCAATAAAGATGCAACTGTGTAACTTCGAATTAAACATATGACTAAGCTCTGATATTGCATACGCAACAACAAATTTAGATGGGGGTAATCTGAGTAACGGTGGCTAACGAGTCAGTAGGCCTCAACATTCCTATGTTAAAAGGCAAGACTTGAAGCGCAACACAACAAGAAACAACTAAATAACACAATATGGAGAAGTTATGGAAGAGATGTAAAGCTATAAATACCTGAGCAGTACCACTGAAAAGCATACAATGTTGAAACTGGGGCTGTATTCTATATACTGAAGAACTTTTGGAACTCAGAAGGACTATCAGATAGCACAAAATTAAAACTCAAAGATTAACATTCAGACAGCCCTGTTGTACGTGACTGAAGCTCAGAGAAACATGAAAAACAAACGTTTATGAGCAACTATCTGTCCAAAATACTGCAGACCCAGTGATTAAATACTATCAGCCGTAACTTATTCCCAGGAAACATAAACCAGCTACCAGGTGAGGAGAAAATCAAGAAAAGACTCTACACATATTTGTGAGAATTGACAAACCGAGTCGAAGGGCAAGCACTAGCTTGGAAGTCAAAGGCAAACTGAAAAGATATAAACCAGGTAATACAGTGAACGAGGAGTATGTTGTGAAGCTCAAAATCATAACAAACATGTAACAACGACTGGGAAAGAGAAGCCAAGAGTTTGCATGACTTTAAATATCTATCCACAACCATATTAATTATGACCTCCAAAGATTCACCACACATCTTGCTAACTGCCTCCAGCACGCTCCGCAATACAGAAAAGTCTTTTCTCAAAGGCCCGGGAAAGAATAATGGAGAACATTAAAAAAATAATAGGTAATATGTAAGAATTGACCAGTTGTAAGAGTAAATGACGAGTAATCCCAAGAGCATACAATCTCTTTATGTAGTAAGTCAGACTGAAAACTTTCTTCGATAACAATAAAACGTGAGAAGGCCAAGAGAGATCAGAGGAAAAGGTAACACCAAAATAATTGACCTTCGACACTGTGTTTATCAAAGTCTCCAATAGCACAAGCATTATGGGATCTCAAAATGGTGTTTAGTTGCTGTTCATGTCTCATGCTAAAGTTAGCAGCTTGACATTTAGATGGATTAAGTATGAGACCATTACCAACAGACCAACAATCAATACAAGATAAAAACTCATTCATTTCTATGGGATGTAAAGAGGAAGAGATAGGCATACATACAGTGAGATCATCCACATATTTCACAAAAGTGTTTTCTGTGGAAGATGGCAGATCATGCAGAAAAAAATAAAAGAAGAGGTGAAGGAACAGCTCCTTGTGGTACACCTTAATGAGACAGTAGAGACTCTGAACACTTTCCTCCAAATACAATCTACTGTTCCCTTTCAGAGAGGTAAGAACATGGTCAGTTGGTTATCCAGCTGTCAGTGTTGATGCTGATTAACTTGTTAATTAAACGTTGTCTTGGTATAGAATCAAAAGCTGAATTATTGTTCAGAAAAGCGAATCGAACATATTTGTATTTATTCAGATACAAATATCCAGACAATCTGGACAATTCCGTTGGTATCACTGGAAATTTGGTGTCAGCTCAAGCAAGTGCACGCAAACATGGTAGACAAATAATCCATCCCCAGGTAACGACGAATGAGGAGAGGCTATTAAACAGCTAAAAGATAAACTGACTCAAGCATCTACGTTAATCCACTTGCTTTGATGATGAATGCTTCGGAAAAAGCAGTCGGCGGTACCCTTAACCAACTGATTAAAATGCCTAATTGCTTTCTTCTCAAAAAGACTTCAGAAGAGACATGGTATTCTACCTTCTGGAGAGAAATTCTTGTAATCTATCTGATCATTAGACATTTCCAACACATGTTAGAAGGCAGGGAATTCATAGTTTTTACGGACCGCAAACCACTAACGAATGTGTTAAAAGCGAGAGCCGATAAATGCTTGCCTTGAGAAATACAACACCTTGACTATATATCACATTTCACAAGTGATATCCGAAATGTCAAAAGTCAGGAAAACCAGGCGACAGATGCATTACTTCGACTAGAAATGAATGTGACAAAACAGTTTTCAGTAAACTTCGAGGCATTGAGAGACAGACAAGAAGAGGATCAAGAATTACGAAACCTACCTACAACAAAGAAGTGTAGAACTATGGTCTACTATGATATTAGTACTGCTCTAATAATAGACCTAATCCTAAATTTGTAGATTTGTCATGATATGACTGCCTAATCCATAAGATCTTACGTGGAAGTCACACCATCGACTATACCAACTCACTGTATCGTATCAATTACCAATACATGATGTAGAACAAGGTTAGGCTAGAGAAAGAACAATATATTTAATATGAAAAGAAGATATAAGGTAACATTCAGCAGAGACCACGCCTGCATGGCCGAGCCATGCCGTTCGATCAACTCTAGTCTATTCAGTTCATTCTTCGCGCCTTCTCCATCGTTAGGTATTTCTTCGCGTTAAATATTGAATACCTATTTTCCGAGTAATCTCGTATTCAGCTTTGAGGATAGTGTGGTTATGTTCCAATGCCACTACAGAAGTCTAGTCTCAAACTAAAGCAGTTACCATCGCCTATTGACGGTATTCTAATTTACTGTGACACTATCGATGTAATGCCACTACCTTTCGTCCCAAAAAGTATGCGAAAACTAATATTTAATAACTTTCATTCTTTATCTCATCCTCATGCAAAATATTCAACTAAGCTAATCAATGCCAGATATATATGGCCAAATTTACAGGAGAATGTACACAAATGGTTTAGAATATTCGGCATGCCAACAATCAACGGTTATTCGTCACACAAATTCACCTATACGTGTTTTTTGCAACCAGATCCACGTTTTCTCATGCGTATGTCAACTTAGTAGGCCCTTTATCGGGTATGAATGGTTTTCATTATCCGTTTACATGTATAGGTCAATTCACGAGATTCCCCATAACTATACCAATAATGGACATCATAGCTGAAACAGTGGCTAAGGTCTTCATGCAGGGCAGGAAGGCAGGAAAAATCAACCGCTATTCTGAAACCTGGATTTTCGAAGATCAGGTACCAAAAATCGTAAGGGGATACACTTTGTGCGTGCATATGTATATGAATTTCTTGAGTCTGGACTTATGTAGTCGTGCATGTGAGTATATACAAGGAGAAAGTGCCGGGCTCGACCACAGAGAGCGAATATGACAGTCTGCTTCAGTCAAAAGGGCACAACCAGGTTTGTGAACATAAGAAGTGAATAGAAAATATTGGCAAAAAGAGTGGTGACGATCTGCCTTTCCGTAGGAGCGAGTGTACCAAAGTACATGCCATAAGATAGATGAGCAAAAACCTGTCGGTATGGATGTACACGTCTAAGCACAACGGCCAGGGGCTGGAACAGTTTTCCCTCAAAAACACGTACTAGTGACGTGGTGTGTTTGCCTTGAAGAACAGCACGTCTCAACGGAAGAGCCAACTTGCCTTACCTTAAGGGGCTTAACCAAACTGATTGGATCTGGGTCGGTACCTCACGTTTTAAACGATAAGTTTATTGGTAACGTCTCCTATGTTTTTTTTCACCCAAGGATGATCATCTTAGGGGGCCTGTTTAAAAAGTTGAGAAATTGGATTATTCGGCTCTTCTGAACTCATCTTGCAACCAAAAAGATTCCTATCTAGCGATGTAGCTTTACAAATCCTACTTCTTTGAGACAAACACAGGTGGATGCAGTCAAGTCTTTGGCCACCCTTAGCTTTATCCAGAGACGCTTTAGCGCGTTTTCTTCAAAGCTATTTCAGGCAGTATTCAAAATATACATCAGGCTACATCTAGAAATTCAGGACGTTGCAGCACGTCTTCTCAAAAACAGAGCTGCGATTCTTTTGAACAAGTTCAAAATTGCATCACTAGTGTGTTGATGATTAAAGGACAAACCTTATTCAGGCCGTCTAAGTTACCTGATATTGTTTCTGTTAGGTCCCAGAAGTGTACGAAACTACCTGATAATGGTTTACCGAATACTAAGTGCTTCTGATTACACTAATTGAGGAAATACTACCTGAGTTTGATCAATGTACTTCGAGAAGCAGTTCAAGACGAATGGCATATCAGAAAGGCGACTTCCAAACAAGATAACACTTGTCTTTAATAAGAGCCAACTCTAACTAGAATTTTCTCTCAGTAAATCCGACCATAGCCACCTCAGTAAATAGCTGTCAGAGGAGGCATGGTAGATAAGTATTCATAGATGGTTAATCATAATTCTCCTAACGTAATGTAATGATTATATGTACTTGAATTATTGTGCGAGCTAGTTTTCCTCGAATCAACGCAATTTAAGTCATAAAGGACTAGGTGAGCACAAACAAACATATTGTACCTGGAATTCGAAACCAGGTAGTCACCAAGTACAAAAGAATCAATAGATCTTACAAACACCACACGTGGCTGTACCTAATACATGCCTCGTACCTTCTCATTGCTTTCAAAATTATCCCTATTATTATTATTATTTTCGCCATCATTATTATCTCTACCATAATTACTGCCAATATTATGAACCATACTCACACGTTTGCGTAAAAATGTTATTTGCGGATTCTGAGTTATCTTTTCTTTGCTTTCATACAATCTAGCTTTTTAACCCTTCAAGTCGCAAGTAAGCAACCTTCTGTCCAGTAATGTGGCGGCTACTTCTTTCAACAACCCTAGTGCCTCAGAACAAATAGATCCAATAAATCAAAAATATGTAAAACCCTAATTGTCTATCATATACGCTAGGATTAGCTCAATAAAAACTCTGAACATGAGTTATCGGCACTTTTCATTGATTCGTTAACATTAATTCAGATATTGTGGGTAATAATTGGCTTGTGACCCCAATTCCTTACCATTGAATGCTGAAGACAGAAAGTACATGGAAGTTTGTGTACAATATGCAAGTAGTTGCGTTACTGTAATTTTGGCTCAGCCTTCGAAGAGTAAGTATGGACGGTCAATATACATATATTTAATCCACAATGCCCTGTTACACAGCGTGATTCATTTTATTATTTGTATGCGTTTCGTTGGAGATTTAAAGCCATTGTCTTTGCTACGTATAGCGGTATGTGGAGGACCTTGGAATGACTTTTTGTCTCTCACACTAAGGGCTTCACTTTACTCTCAACTATTAAAAAACAAAATTTGATCAGTAATATCGAACCGTTTTAGTGTGAATGCAGTTCATTAGTATAATGGATCAGTTACTCAGGTTTGAACCCTCATCTAGTTTATAAGATTATGTTGATCAAATAGTATCACTGTTTGTTAATTAGTATTTAGCTGCTGATTTTATGCAGTAATTTGTGGTTATGTAGTTGCATTATACAAGCCTGAAAATTCGTGTGTGCCTAATTGGATGATAAAGAGTTTGGTACAGCATTGGGACAGAAGGATAAAGGAAACAGATTTAGTTTGGTTTTACCTAGTGCAGACTGATGTAACTAATCTATGTCGTCATTTACTCTTACAACTTGTCAATTCTTACATATTACCTATTATTCTTTACTGTTCTCCATTATTCTTTCCCGGGCCTTTGAGAAAAGACTTTGCTGTATTGCGGAGAGTGCTGAAGGCAGTTAGCAAGATGTGTGGTGAATCTTTGGAGGTCATAATTAATATGGTTGTGGATAGATATTTAAAGTCATGCAAACTCCTGACAGGTGTTATTTTATCAGTTACTAACTTTCCACTTCACTTTCGTCTTTCTCCTTGTATATCTTCTGTTAGAACAAGACAAAATTACATTGAAATCCATGCACGCAAGGAAAAGTATAAAAGTTCTATAATACCTTACCTAGCAAATATACTCTGTGACGAACAGGTTGTTAGAGTTAACCTAGTCAATAACCTGCATCCTAACATGTCTCTAATTTGAAAAGTTGTCCAGTTTTTTCAGATTTTTTAGACCCTTTTTGTCTTTGTTTCTGTTTTTTGTGTAAGAAACTTGTTGAAATACCCTGTGGTGATAATTCTATATTGTACCAAAATATAATATTGAATAAAGCTATAAATAATAATATTGCATTCGTCATTAGTATCCCAGAATTCATCTATGACGCTGAAAGTGTAGATACTTTTCTCACGTGATTCAAGCGTTGGGAAAGTACATTCAGAATAGGATTTTATAAACAAGATGACCAGTGGAAGACTCGATTGATGATTGGTATGTTTGGAAGGAATGAAAATGCGCGTTATACTAGCCATATATTGCCAAAGTTACCTTTAGAGCCCAGTTTCAAGGAGACGGTAATTCAATTGTCAAAGATATTCGGTGAATCCTCCTCATTGTTTAGTATTCGATATCAATGTCTAAATTTCGGTGAAACTCGAAGCCGATGAATATGGTGCTCTAGCAGACGTCGTCAACAGAGGGTGTGAACGGTTCAAGTTACGCTCATAGACAGAAGACCAATTTAAGTACTTAATATTCTTTGGTTAAGATCATGAATCAATTGATGTTAGACCACCGTTGGAAACCTGGAAGCACTGGACGGCCGTTTCGTCCTAGTGTGGGACTCCTCAGCAGTGCGTATCCACGATCCCGCAAGCGGGATTCGAACCCAGGACCTACTGGCTTCGCGCCTGAGCACTTAACCATTAGACCACTGAGCCGGCATCCAATGGTGTTAGTGTCTAACATCAACCAATCCACGAAATTGCGCGACCAACTTCCATTGTACTGAGGTAGATACCTGTCTCTACCCGACACGGATTAGCTCCACTGGTCTAACATTGGTCTAACATCAATTGATTCATGATCTCAACCAAAAACTTAACAATCTCCACAACCCCCATACTGATACTTAATATTCATGTTATCTAACAGAACGGCTATACTTTGATCTTCTTGGTCTAAATATGTTAGGAAAACTTGTAATAATGGATTAACTCATTAGCAGTGTCTGTGACGTGCCGTGCTCATCATTGGACACCCCGGTACTTGCAAAAATGACAGGCAAAAGGTTGCTAGAAAAAGTGAAGAGAAAGTTCGCCTATGTTTTTCAGAATAGCATTGGTCACTGCACCAAGATGAAAGCTCACTTGCCAGTGAAGTCAGATGCTAAGCCTATTTTTCATCTGAGACGTCCTGTACCATATGCTGCTTTTGAACTGGTTGATCAGGAACTTAATCGAAACACTCCAGTGTCTTCGGATGAAGTCATTGAAGAAACTTAGAAGTCAGGTCCCACTAGAAGTAAGAAGGGTGTCCCTTGATGATTAGCTCCACAGAACTGTTGCCAGCGCAGACTATCTCAATCACTGACGACTGCCTTCTGTATACCAAACGTGCCATAATCCCAAAGCAGCTTCAACTAGAAGTGCTTGATCAAATTATTATTTATATATTTGTTCATTTGAACACAAACTGATATGAAGAGGCACCAAATACATAGGCGCCACACAATAACAACGAGGCCAGTAGTAGTTATCATTGATTTGTGTGTGGGCCGTGATACTCCTCAGGTGCTCAGACCGAAGCAGGTGGTTTTCTTAGGGGGCCACACTCCGAGTGTTTGGCCAAAATGTCTAATCCACAAGGCAGTGGAGCAACGTTACGAGATGCGGTACCATGATAGCCGGTGACTAACAATAGGTTCATACGCCTTTTGTTCAGGTCGGGATCCTGGAGCTCATGCGCACCATTGTTTTGGAATTAGAGTTTTCCGAGTTCCTTAGGTGGAACCTCCATATCCGCTAACCAGGTTAAAGCTCCAAACATTTGCTTTTCGTCCTCTCAATTTCGCAAACGACATCTCTGCTGCGAGAAGGCGATGAGTAGGACTTCCTTGTCAGTGTCTGTATATGCGTGGTTATGTGCGAGTATTTCGAGATGGGAAGCGGACTTTCCCGACTCTCGGCCGTACCAGGGCATTTTGGGGCGCTTGAACAGTTGCATACAGGACATCCTGTAATGAATAGCATGAAAACGATAACACCAAGTTATGTATACTGGCCGCATTTAGACACCCAACTGGAGCAGCTATCCACTTCGTGTATTAAATGTGCATTAGCAACAAAAGTACCACGGAGAGCAGATCTGCTGTTGTGACTAATACCACAGTCGCCATGGTAGCGTATGCATTTGGATTTCGCTAGTCCACTTCACGGACAAACTTACATTTTGGTTGTTGATGCGTACGGCAAGTGGCCGGAAATTCTCATGGAACATCCAACTGCAAGCTGCACAATCAGAAAACTGCGTCAACTATTTATTCGTTTCAGGTTTCCAGAACTAATAGTTAGCAACCATGGAACACAGTTTACACCCGCTATCTTTTCAGAATTTTGTGGGCAGAACGGAATCAATCATGTCCAAACACCTCCATTCCATCCCCTATCCAATAGCCAAGTAGAACACTATGTTGGTGCATTTAAGAATTTTCTGAAAAAATCAAAAGGGGGGACCACCGAAAAGATTTTAGAGGTTCCTGCTTATCTATCGTTCTACACCGAGCACTCAGACAATTAACGGAGTCTCTCCAGCAGAAGCTTGACTTGGTAGGAAAATACGAACACATTTCGATGTCATTCGACCGACACCAGTCCTTGAGTCTTAGCGAAACGTATCGACGGAGAAACAGTTCATTTGACATCATGGGGGACGAAGACGATTGTTCACGGTGGGTCAAAAAGTACTTGCTGTGAACTATCATGGAAAAAATCCTGCATGATTAACTGATCGGATCGTGCAAAAGAAACAAAGTGTGGTTTACGAGGTGTCAGTTGGCTCAGACGTTTGGGTACATATTGCCAACCAAGTGAGAGCAACTTCGGTCTCCAGCAACGAAACTCGACATAGAATACCTACTGGTGTTCTGCTGTACACCCTTAGAATCAAAATCTCTGGGACAGGCCGGTCTCTGTGCAACCAAAGAGTGACACCACTTCCTAATTGCCTAGAAGGTAGAGAAATCGAAAGCACAGACCAGTTACATGGTTTCAGGTGGGCTCTAACATCAGATCCTACGAAACTGCTCAAAAGGGGAGTGTTAGCGGGATACATATTAGATTAAAGCACGTTCCATGTAGTATGGTTTTGGGGCACGCTGCTTGGCTAATTCTTATCCATTCAGCGCTAGTGGATACTTAGAGAAGACTCCAGGATCTTTTCATGCAAAAAAATATAAATATACTAACGTTTTTCTCATTGTGATTCCTACTTTATTTAACCCTTTCACTTGGGATATAATTACGTTCCTGTTCAATCGTGTTCTGATTTGGAGACTTATCGAGTGAAGTAGTGTCTAAGATATTCCTAAGCAATGAGAGTAGCTGGGTCGTAATAAGAGAAATTATAACAAGATTTATTCCAAATAACCTTAAAAATATTTCATTGGGTAACCAAATTTTATTTATATTTTCAGGGATATATATTATCAGCCTCATAATATTTGTATTGCATGTTCCAAAATTTACTGTAACTGGATAATAGGGTGTTTTGAATTGACGTATTCTAGTAACATCCAAGTTTGTGATCCTAATTTTATTAATTTAAATCCTTAAGCTAACTAATGACAATTTTATCCCAGAAAGTATCATGTTGTATGTATGCATGATTGGTCGAAAAGTAATATTAGCTGAAGTGAAATCTGGTAAACGATCCAATCGCTAGATTAAGGAATGATTTCGTAAGGTTTTTTTATAGAAACGATGAGTTTTCTAGATTCCTTGAATATTTATATTTGTGCACATCTAGTGCGTACCTTCTTAATTGACTGTTACTAAATATAGTAGTCGTAAATGGTTTCCTCTTATTCTTGGTTTACAGAAGTCTACTGAAACGTTTTTGGCAATATTTAATCTGAGATATGTTGTTTTGTGCTCTAGCTCTACAAGAGTCCTGTTCACATGGAACGTAATTTTTACTAAACATACCCAGAACTCATATATGTGATCATATTATCCCAAATTTTTTCGATTCTGGGTTCTAGAAATGAAAGGTCATTCCAATTCAACGTTGCCTCCGGGATCAGTTCTAATACAGTCTGGCCAGGCCATTTCTCAGACTTCTGGCATAGCTGCTCTCCAAACTAACAGTGTCACAAGTGGTCCACAGAATCTCCAAGTGTGGACTCCGTCACCATCTGGAGCTATTACGGTTTCGGGTATCCCATCATCAAGGAGTTCTGCCAACTTGGTTACTCTCCCCTCTGGCCAGACTGTATTGATGGCTAATTTGGTAACAACGGCTACCACAGCACCGATTTCTCTTTCAACATCTTCAATTGCTAAACAGCAAATCCAAGTCCCGACGGGTCTTCCACCTGGTGGGCCCATTGTCATATCTAATCCCAATTCTGCTGGTCCACTTGCTACACAGCTCACGAATCCTACTGTCATACAAGGTCCTAACGGTCAAATGTCGGTGGCATTGCCAGGTGGAATAATAAGTAGCAATACATTAAACTCATTCAATAGTTCATCCACTGCCTTTGTTTCAAGCACATTAGGAAACATATCTACCGATCAACCTGTACATATCGCTCAGATTGTTGATAATCATTTGCGTCCAGGAACGGCTTGTTTCACAACAAATGCTGGCTTTCAGGGAATAACACCTATGAATCAAGTACTTTTGGACTCAACAGGTTTTAATCTTGGCAGTGCTCAAACACAAAACAAGTTGATTAATATGTCGTCCATCAGACCTCCTGGACTTGTGTCTTCTCCCATGCAACCAGTTCACCCTGGTAATTCGTTTGTTGCAGCTGGGAATATTCCTAGAGGTTTGTCTGTCAACCTTTCTTCTGACATCACAAATTCGCAGTCAAAACCATCAGTTTCTCAACCAATCATTGTCTCTACTTCAAATTTGCCTGTTCAAGAATCAGTTATATATCCAGTTCAAGATGAATGCTCATCGGCAATGCAAAATTGTACTTCTACTTCGGGTCCAGTTACAACATCTGTGGTTGATGTTAGCTCAACTAACAATCCATCTGTTTCAACTGCTGGGGTTACTGTCGTCGAAATACCTTGCTCACCTGAAAATGGTCAAACAAATCTCAACTCAAAGTGCATCACTGATGAGCAAACCAATTCCGTTTTCACATCAAGTTCCTTATCTGAGTTGTTGACTGAATTTGAACCTCATTTGCAACTAGATCCTGATGTTGAAGAGGTATGTTACTAATTGTTTTATTGCTTACCTTTTACCTATACAAGATAGGAATGTAACCATATTCTGATATTATGTCTTCCTAGTTAAAAATTTTAGTTGTTAAGTCTTCACCGTCTTTTTGTACAAAATCGTGGGCTTATTAATTATTTTAAAAACACTGGATCAGTTCGTTTTGCCGACCTTAATTGTCCTCATTCGTTCTTATAGTCTTTTTGACTTTAGTCACTGGATTAAGATGGCTGTAAAATGCATATCACATGTGCCCAATTACCGTCTACCTCGTCGAGAAATGTTGGCTGGTGTAAGAATAGCTTAGAAGGAAGGTAGGAGCGTTCATTATTGGTTATCTTAGTGAGTAGTGGGAGAACAAACACAGTTTAAAGAGTTCGTATAATTCAGTTCCTTATCATTTAAATTCCTGAAACAGACAGGTCCATAAAAGATAATAACTAAGCATTCACACAGGTTCAAATTTTCTTGATGCTTCACCACTGTTTTTCTTTGTGCTTATGTTATAAATTCTCTTATTACAACCCAGCTACTCTCATTGTTTAGTAATCTTAGACAATACTTCACTCGATAAGTCTCCAAATCAGAACACGATTGAACAGGAACGTAATTATATCCCAAGTGAAAGGGTTAAATAAAGTAGGAATCACAATGAGAAAAACGTTAGTATATTTATAATTTTTTGCATGAAAAGATCCTGGAGTCTTCTCTAAGTATCCACTAGCGCTGAATGGATAAGAAGTAGCCAAGCAGCGTGCCCCAAAACCATACTACATGGAACGTGCTTTAATCCAATCTGTATGTCGCTAACAACTTTGTTAGCCAACTGTAGCCGAAGAGTTACTAAGGCTACAAACCGTTTACACGATGCTCAACCTTGGCTGATAATATCACGTAGATATATGTATGATCAAAGTTAGAAGTTAAGAACTTTGTATGAAATACTTTCTAAATGCCTTTGTTGTGGGACTTGGAATCATGATGTCTTCTTATGATACATTTCAAAGTTTTGAGTCATAACAAGTCTCTGATAATTATTGTTATCAATATTTATGTTTTCCCGTCAACCTTTAGAAATATTGTAGTGAAGTTGGAATGATACACCATTGATCCTGCAGTAGTATTTTCTGTGTATATCGATTAATATATATTATAGATTTTAATAGTAAACCTACCAACGTAATTTATTGAAATCACTCTGTTGTTAGTACCTCCATATAAACTGTTATGAAGAACTCTTTCAAAAAATATTAGATCAAAATACGCAAGCGAATAGTGTTTTCGTTTAGATCTTCATCAGAATTTACTCTAATATATAGTAATCCATTTATATGCATATATGAAAAGTAGTAAGTCAATCATAACAATTTATGAATCAGTGATAATGAAAAAGCATTAAATAACTAATAATAATAATAAGTATGATAGTAAATAAAAGAACAGTATGACATGAACAAATATGTATCGACATAGGTAGTAGGCAAAAGCTTGAAAAAAAGAACTTACTAAAATGGTAATTATTAGAATTTATTTATCTGAACACAAATATTGGTACAAAGGGTTACCGAATACATATGCGCCACACAAGTTATTTGATTTATGTGAGGGCTGGGATACTCTCCAGGTGCCCAGACCGAAGCAGGTGGTTTTCTTAGGGGGCCACACTCCGTGTGTTTGACCTAAATGTCTAATCCACAAGGCAGTGGAGCAACGTTACGAGATGCGGTACCATGGTAGCCGGTGACTAACAATAGGTTCATACGCCTTTTGTTCAGGTCAGGATCCTGGAGCTCATGCGCACCATTGTTTTGGAATTAGGGTTTTCCGAGTTCCTTAGGTGGAACCTCCATATCCGCCAACCAGGTTAAAGTTCCGAACATTTGCTTTTCGTCCTCTCAATTTCGCAAACGACATCTCTGCTGCGAGAAGGCGATGAGTAGGACTTCCTTGTCAGTGTCTGTATATGCGTGGTTATGTGCGAGTATTTCGAGAGGGAGAACGGACTTTCCCGACTCTCAGCCGTACCAGGGCATTTGCGGGCAATCATTATAATTACACAATAAGAAATGTGTATGGATAATCAGATTAAACATATAAGTAAGTACAATAAACATTTGAAAGTTAACAATTTTACTAATTTTTTTCTTAAATCAATATTTTTTGTGTTACTTTTTTATCCCACTTTCTTTCTCCGTAGGTTATAACTAATTTAGCTAATGAATTTATTGTAAATTGTGCAGAAAAAGCTCAACAACTTGCTTTACATAGGGGTATATCAAATGTTGAAGCAAAAGATGTTGTATTTTGTATGGGTAGGTTTTTGTTTTATAAATTTTAATGTTTGTTATTATCATCTGATTGTATAGTTGGATTATATAATTCAACTATTTATAGTTTCTTAATATACAATTATTAATAATATACACTCTTAAATAGAGTGAGACTACTAGTATAGGGGTTGTGGAGATCATTAAGTTTTTGATGGAGATCATGAACCGACTGATGTTAGACAACCGTTGGAAACCTGGAGGCACTGGATGGCCGTCTCGTCGTATTGTGGGACTCCTCAGCAGTGCGCATTCACGACCCCGCTCGCGGGATTCCAAGTTTCCAAAGGTGGTCTAACATCAATCGGTTCATGGTTTCAATCAGAAACTACAATTATTCTCATATGGTTAAATATGTAAAAAATATATAAAAGACATTTGATAAAATGACGCTTTATGAAGATACAATTTAAGCTACTGAATTTGGTTTAAAGTTCATGGTTAGCAAAGTAGTTTTGAGTATATGACAAAATCCTTTCAAAAACTAGTATACTAAAGTGTTTGCCAAACTTCATGAATAATAATGTAGTACTTTTCATATTATCAGAAAAAAAGTCACTGGAAGTTTTGATATTTGTTTGGGGATATTTAGTATATGGTAACACTGAATTTATTCATTTCATAACATAACAATATAAACAGTTGTACTTCAGAAAGTTCTGACTTCTCGAATAGCCGTTTTGTTACAATAAGTCTGAATTAGCTGGGAAATAGATGTAGGATGATGGTATCAAAGAGTAGTTAGGAGTCATAACGAGTCCACGCAAGCTATATCTGCTGGATTCTTTGGTGTTCTTAGTATTCTTTCTACCTAAGATTGCAACATGTATTTAGTCGAAAATGGACGACCTCTCCATCGCTTGCTCGAAAATCAACTAGCCACCAAACGCCATGATCTACCTTCGCATGTGGACAATTTTGAACATGCATTCGACTAGGAAAATGTTGAAATCCTAAATAGATGGAACAGTAAAAACACCAAAGAATTTTTAGAAATTTGATACTCATGTCAGTTATTTATTTGAACACATAAATATTGGTACAAGAGAGCGCCAATATATATGCGCCACACAAAGCGAGAGAAAGTCAAAGTAAGGATGCAAACAATGATAGACGAATGATCTAAAATAACCATTTAAGATTGAGGTTGACAAGACAGACTGTTAGTCATATGTGTATAAATTGGAATACTTCACTTCTACCTGAAGTTTGTCGGTGTATACACTCCCTGTCTTCCCTTAAACTATGAGATTAAAATCGCTTCATATCTTTCTTTCTACGAACCAATTCTTTCTTCTTGTACTATATCTCTATATGCAATCTTTCTCTTATATATTACCACCTTTTACCTAACCACTGTTATGAATCCGGTGTTCATCTTGTTGTGTTGATGCGGTATGGCAACCTGGACCGATGCACATATGTGCCTGGTCCTACGTTGTAGCTGACTGACTGAATTTTGTACTGATAATGCTGTTCAGAGGAACAATGTAAACTCTAGAATCAAAACATCCAGCTAAGAGTACGAATCCCTACTAATAAAATTTAATACACACTTGCAAAATCTCGTTTAATTATAAGTATACATTCATAATTTGATTTCTTTTCTTCTTCGTCCCAAGTTTAGAACGTGATTGGAATATTATTGTTCCGGGTTTTGCTACTGAGGAACGAATTGTACGTAAAAGTTTCACAACTGAAGCACATAAACAGCGTTTAGCTTTAATTAAAAAACAAATTAAAAAAATGTGAATATATATATATATAATATCTCTTTGTACATTTAAAATTCTCCTGTTTATTATTGTCTCCCCCTCTGTATTACACTTATATTTATTTAATTCTGCCTTCGGTTGACTTTTACTTTTTTTTTAATGGGGAAAACTATTTCTTTTTTTTAAATAAAAAAGATTATTTGACGTAAATTAAATTGTTTTATATCATGGGAATTATTATGTAGTTGATTTTGGGTGATAAATTTCATTTCATTAAATTGTTACAAAATACCTGATTGGTATTGAATTACTGTTATGTACCATGGTCTAATATGTTTTTTCAAGCTAGAAAATACGATCAAAATTATTTGTATGAACCGGTTTTTTGTTTTTGTTTTTTAAATCAACATTAAATAGTTGTAAATTATCTTTAAATTAAATAAGATAATTTAGAAAATGTCAACAAATTGATAGTATTGTATTACCACACCGTGGAAGGACCTGGATAACTAAGCTAAAAGTTTAGCATTTCATCTTACCCAATTATAAGCAACGTAGAACCTAACACATATGAATAAGTCAATCAGCTACAACGTGGGACCAGGCATGTATATGCATAGGTTTAAGTTGTCACACCTCATTAGCACAAGATGAGCACCAAATTCATAGAGGTAGTTATTTCAATGGTAGTAATATATAAAAGAAAGATAGTGTATAAACATATAATACACAAAGAAAGAATTAGTTCGTAGGAAGAAAGGATAAAGTAATTTCAATCTTACGATTTAAGGGAAGACAAAAAGTGTATATAGCCACGCCATTGTGATCGATTCTGGGCTACGTCACCTAGTCTCCAACCATTGGTTACGATAGTTACGCGGACCCCAACCAAGTAGTCTGCATCTACCAACATGGTTCAGACTAGAAGTTAGTGACTTTAAGGTCTGATGCCACATTTTTGGTTTGGCTGCCCACATGTGAATTACCCTTAGTTGACACACCATATCGGGATATCGAGACGTTATCAAGATGAATACCAAAGTAGTAGAAATAACAGTAACAATAGTAGTGAAATATATTACAAATGGACAAGAACGAAAACATGTGTGGGATAAAAAGATAATTTATCTAAAGCAAGACAGAGTGGATGAATCTGTTCGATTTAGACCGTCTAACCACTAGTTGCGATGATCGCGTAGATCCTGATCATATAGTCCGCATCTGCCAACAGGGTTCAATCCAAATGACTTCATGGGTTAATGCCACGTGATTTGGGTATTTCTAACTCCTAAGCAAAACGCATTTACAACCCCTCGAGGTTGGGACCTCAAGAGGAGTGCTTAACCTAAAGGTTAGGCCGCTGAGTCGTTATCCACTAACTTACATTTCTAATTGTAATCAAACTTAGGTCTTGGTTGATTACCATTACTATTGTTTATCTCATACTCGACATGATTGAAGTCTACTGGTCACAGCTCCTTCGGAGTTTACCTCTTGAAGTTAGTCACAACTAAGCACATAATATTTGTTATTATAGTGTTGCGAAGACTGCTGGATTCGACTCAGATTTGCCTATCTATATGATTTTTCTTATACTTGTTCATTGAAATTAAATATCTCCCAACTCTTCATTATGTAAAAAAAGTGGTAGCGGTTTGCTTCGTATTAATCTAGGAGTGGAATGTAATTTTTAAGTTTTGTTCATTCTTCCTCGAAGTTATGGATTAGTGGTTAAGGTTTTCGATTTTCAGCAACCAGATCTCAGGTTCGAACGTTGACCCACCTAATACGCTTTGAACCACCGGGTAATATCATTCGCTCTTACTATTAGTGTAGCTCATAACCAAGTGAGTCAACCCGCCTTGGGATTGCTATCACACTATTTCAATTTCTTTGGTATGCATCTTGCTAATTTCATCTCGTCGTGCCAATATGATATGGCAATTTGAGTTAACATAAGTTCATCATTACCCACTGACTCTTATACTACTGTTAATATTACTCCCACTCCTTAATTTTGTACCTTGGTAATATTTTCCATCCTACTGATGTGAAGTGTGGCAACTTAGTCAGTCAGCTACAACGTAGGACCAGGCACATATATGCATCGGTCCAGGTTGCCATACCTCGTTAGCACAGAAAGATGAACACTGGATTCATGGGAGTGGTTAGGTTAAAGGTGGTAGTATATAGGAGAAAGATGGCATATAAGTATACAGTACCGGAATATGGAATTAGTTCGTAGAAAGAAATATATGAAGCGATTTTAATCTCTTAGTTTAAGGGAAGACAGGGAGTGTATGCACCGACGCCATTGTGGTCGATTCTGAGCCATGTCACCAAGAGTCTCCAACCATCGGTTACGAAAGTCACGCGGACCCCAACCAAGTAGTCTGCATCTACCAACATGACTCAGACTAGAGGTTAGTGTCTTCAAGCATTAATGTCACGTTTCGGTTTGGCCGCCCCTAATTCTCTTCCAACCATCTCTAACACCCGTTAGTATTGCACGTCGTGGTAATCGGTGTTCAGGCATACGTACCACGTGGCCCAAACATCTCAGTCGATGAAGATTAATAACCTCATCAACTGATTTACCATCATTCCCTAATACCCTGCGTCTAACCTACCTATTACTTACCTGGTGATGCCAGCAGATGCGAGCAATATTTCTAAGGCATCTGTGGTCAAATACTAGTAGCTTACGAGTATTTTCTACCCTTAAAGGCCATGTTTCGCTGCCGTAAAGTAAGATAGAACGGACTGCCGCGCAGTATCCTCGTCCTTTTATTGATAGACGGATATCTCGCCTTCGCCATAGGTGACGTAAGTTGGCAAAAGCCAAACGAGCTTTTTGAATCCGTGATGAGATTTCGTCCGATATCAACCCATTAGGGCTGATCAGACTTCCAAGATAAGTGAAGTTGTCGACGAGTTCGACTACTTCACTCCCTATCCTTAGTTCAGGTGTTGACGCACTCGAGTCCCGGAGCAACAACTTGCATTTACAGGGAGAGAAGCGCATTCCAAACATTCTGGCATTGTTGCTCAGTGCTACCAAAACACACAGCACTTTATCAGCGTCTTCACCAAACAGGACTCTGATCTGTGTATTCTAAGTCGATAAGTGGACCTCCTGGAAGGAGATCAATACCTGAGAATTCAGTCGACGAGAATGTTATTTCCATCAGCAGGTTTATGATGAAGTTAAACAAAAATGGAGAAAGTGGACAGCTTTGACGGACACCACTTGAGGTTGCAAAACTAGATGACAGTTCACCATAAGTTCTCACTCGACTAGTAGTGTTCGAGTAAAGAGCCTTCACAGGGTTTATGTACTTCTGGGGTACGCCTTTCAATGACAGACACTGCCACAGAATCTCGCAGTCTACTGATTTTAAGTCAAGAAAGACCACCATTGTCGGACGTCGATAAGTATGCCTGTGTTCTAGAACCTAACGAATGGTGAATATGTGGTCGATGCAGTCACGACCAGGTCTGAAGCCAGCTTGGCTTTCTCGTGTTTGCAGTTCACGAGTCTTAGGCGTCTGATTATTATTGAGGCTAGTATTTTAGATACTATATTAGTTAAACTAATCCCTCTATGGTTGTCACAAGATGATTTTGATCCTTTCTTATATATTGGGACGATAAGTGATGGCGACCAGTCAGATGAAATAACATCTAACTCCCAGATCTTAGCTAAAATATTAGTCAATCTAACCGCTAAAATTGGACCACCATCCTTAAAGACTTCTGGAGTCAATCCATCTGCCCTTCCTCGTTTCAGATTAACTATAGCCTTTTGCACTCCTGCTAGAGTTGGGAGACCCACTTCAATGTTCCATTCACACTGTCTGGGAATGGACGGTAGTTGTAGAGTTGCTGAAGGCCAGCTGAACTGTTCTCTGAAATGTTCCGCCCATCGTTCTAAACGTCTGGACTGGGAATAGATGAGAGTATCGTCTCTTTTCGAAATAATCTCACTTACATTTGACTTATTAGTTCCAGTTTCTTTTATTAGTCTGTAGAGCTGTCTTGTGTTCCCTATAGCCGCCGCCTTTTCCATCTCTTTTGCTTTCGTTGCCTATCACTGCTCACGGTCGTTTCTTAGACTTTTTCTTAACCTAGATCTGATTTGTTGTCGCTCTTCATCATGTTCGGAACCTGATGGGATGAGTTTGCGAGAATCCATCAGTGTGATAGACTTTGAAGAAATCCACTGGTTCTTTGTAACTCTGTAGTTTAAGTCACTAATAGATTTCATTGCTGTTTCCACAGCTGTTTGTATATCTTTCCAAGCAATATCTGGGTCAGCCTCGTTTTCAGAACTACCTAAGTGTGACCTCAGTTGTTCCTGGAACTTACTTTTGGTTTTCTCGTTACTCAACTCAGTTCTAATGGGTCTTTTTTGCGTCCAGTGAGGAGCAAGCAGATGCGTGCCCGTATTAGGGCATGGTCGGAGTCCAAGCAGGTACTCCAGAATGAGCGACAATTATCTACCGACCCTCTCCAACGATGACTGATGGCAATATGGTCTATTTGAGTCCACCGTTGGTTTGGTGTAGGGAGTCGCCATGTTAGACGATGTCTCTCCTTATGCTTAAAATTTGTGTTTGCTAAAAATAAACGATTGTCTGAGTATAGTTGCAGCAGACGATCACCATTATCTGTTAGCTGTGGCGGAATACTAAAATATCCAACTAAATGCCTTTCTGTTTGGTTTAAACTACCTATCTGGGCATTAAAGTCACCTGCTACGAGTACTATGTCTGAACGTTTAGCTTTCTGAAGAAGTTCAGATAGCTTTCTGTAAAATTCATCCTTCACTTTATCTGAGCTGCAGTCGGTGGGAGCGTAGGCAGAAACGACAAAAAGGCAACGATGTGTGTCCCTATCCTTCCGAGTTCTT